AAATGGGTGCGATGCGAACGCAGCCACTGGGGCCTCGGTGGAGCGGTGAAACGTGTTGTGCCGAAATGCGCATACGGAACGCAGCCACTGGGGTCCTCGGTGGAGCTCCCTATGGGGCCACGAAACGTGTGAGGGGTGTGCCGAAATGGGCGCGGTGCCGCCATGCGAACGCAGCCACTGGGCCTTCGGTGGAGCTCCCCATGGGGCCACGAAACGTGTGAGGGGTGCCGAAATGGGTGCGGTGCCGCCGTGCGAACGCAGCCACTGGGGCCCTCGGTGGAGCTCCCTATGGGGCCACGAAACGTGTGAGGGGTGTGCCGAAATGGGTGCGGTGCCGCCATGCGAACGCAGCCACTGGGGCCTGGTGGAGCTCCCTATGGGGCCACGGTGTGAGGGGTGTGCCGAAATGGGCGCGGTGCCGCCGTGCGAACGCAGCCACGGGGGCCCTCGGTGGAGCTCCCTATGGGGCCACGAAACGTGTGAGGGGTGTGCCGAAATGGGTGCGGTGCCGCCATGCGAACGCAGCCACTGGGGCCCTCGGTGGAGCTCCCTATGGGGCCACGAAACGTGTGAGGGGTGTGCCGGAATGGGTGTGGCTGACGCGGAGGGGGAGGGGGGAGGAGGCGGAGGAGGAGGAAGGAAGGAAGGAGAGGAGAGGAGACGCGGGGCACCGTCTCTTCAAAACGAGGACCCAACACCACAGGATGGTTGGGAACAAACTTTTGGCGCTCCGCGCGAATTTCATAGATCTGCGCTAGACCCCCCCAGGCGCGCGGAGCGCGCCAGGGGCGGCGCTGGGGGCGCCGCTAGGGGGGTCCCAGCGCAGATCCAAGAAATCCGCGCGGAGCGCCAACAAGTTATGTTTCTGCCGTTCTTTTCTTCTTCGAATACCTCGGTCCGACCGTACCTCTGACGAGGCAAAGCGATGCCCGGAGGAGGAGGAGGAGGAGGAGGAGGAGGAGGAGGAGGAGGAGGAGGAGGAGGAGAAGGAGTATGACGAGGAGGAGAAGGAGGAGGAGAAGGAGGAGGGACGCCGCTGTCCCGAAATGAGGGGAGCCCGACGGCTTGACTCGGGCCCTCGAGGCCCTCACACAGCTCCGGCCTGGCAGGGGAGAGGACGTCATGGGCCACAAGATTCCCAAATCCAGCTGTCCTCCTTCCCCCTCCTGCTCCCAGTACAGTCGGACATCGGATAGCAGAACACACTTCAAGAACATGAGACCCTCCGCCGGCCCAAGCTGCAGAGCATTCGAGGGTGCCCTCCCCCGGGATGCACGAGAACATCCATACAAGAAGAGAAACCGCCATAAACATCAACTTTTGGCGCTCCGCGCGGATTTCTTGCATCTGCGCTGGACCCCCTCGCTTGCCGGCCCGCCGCCTGGACAGCCCGCCTGGGTTTGCCCGTCAATGTTCGGTGGCAACTCATGGGAGTCTCCCGTACCATCTTGTCGGCTCTTGCGAATCGACGCCAATCGACGCTCAATCGACGCTCATCGACGCTGCATCGACGCTAATCGACGCTAATCGACGCTACATCGGCGCTATCTCATCGACTCCAGACGCTAATCGACGCTAGTCGACGCTAAAGACGGAACTAAGAGGCAGGCTCCCACGATTTTCTACCGACCCCATCGGTGGCCTTGAACCCGTCTCTCACAAGCACCATGCGCTCGCCAGCGCTGTTGAGGAAGACCACCCCCTCGAGCCCCTGCGAGAGGCTTGCGGCGCGGAGGAGGACAGGGGCGCGACGTCGGCGAGAAGAGATAGATGGAGAAAAAGAGAGAGAGAGAGAGAGAGAGAGAGGCAATGCTATGTGGGCGATTTCGGAAACTCTAAACCAAACAATGTGTCCATCTCTTGGGGGCGGATGTTTTACTTCCGCCGCCTTCCGCCGGCGGAGGCGGCCTCGTCTTACTTCCGCCGACCTTCCGCCGCCCTTCCGCGGCCTTCCGCCACGGAAGAGATGACAATCCCTTCGACCCTCGAGGGCAGGGCCATTTCTGGAACGCCCCATGCAGACCGACGCGGGCACAGAAGGGAAACTGGACGCCGAAGGGGCTCCTCGAGCAGGCGAGGACAGAGAAGACGCGAGGGGCGGGCAGGCGGTACCGTCGCGCCGCGAAGGACAGCAGGACGGAGGCGCGGGCGGAGGCCGAGAGCGGCATGGAGCAGGGTGCCCGAGGGGTGGGCGGAGACGGGAGGGGGCCGCAGAGTAAACAGAGAGCAAGACGTACGTGCAAGGAGGTTGAGAAGGGCATGGCTGCTGCAGCTCAGCTGCTACACCTGGAGCTCGACCACAAGAAGCCTTCCACAAGAAATCCAGCCCTGAGACCCCAGGGCGTCCATTGATTCAGGGTGTGGGAACGTCACGCTCCACTTAGCGAAACCATTGAAACCCAAGAAACCCAGGGCACCCTGGAGGCAAGCAGCGTTATTATTGGCATGGATTTCCTTTGCACTGGCTGTTACGATGGGGGAGGAGGAGGAGGAGGAGGAG